CATACAAACAAATTTTCCCTCTGATAAAAATGTATTATTTTTCGTAATTAGTGATTTCATTTTTATTTATAGACATAAATTATAATTTTTCACTATTCGCGATAAACAGAAATAATTATTTTTGAAATAAAATTTTATCGAATTAACCATAGAAAATTATAATCATGAACTTTGTTGTAAAAAATAGTTTCACTGACCGTAAATGCAAATAAATAAATTCAAATAAAATCAATTAAAAAATATATTTAAATACAGCTGCTGAAATTTTAAAGATAATAAAAAAAAAATAAATGAAAACAAGCGATTAATGTGGAAAATATTTAATTTTTCCCAAGTGAGGTGGAACAAAATGGCGGACAAATATTTTGTGAGTCTGCGCAGTAGAGTTTCGATACATTTGGAGGTTATGTTTCTAAGGTATCTTTCTCCACAAAAAAATTTCCCAAACTATTTGTAAAGTTTTACATAAAAATAATTTTTCTAAATAAAGAGCATTTTTTATTAACAATAACAATAATTTAATTAACCATTTTTATGAATAACAATAATTTAATTAACAGTAACAATCGATTTTTTTTAAAGTTTATTTTTAACTGAAAGGTATTAAAAAATACTCAAAAAAAAAAAGAAAATTAATAAAAAAGAAAACCGATAATGTATTTTCGGATATTTATAGAAAGCTTTAATTATATTTAAAAACCTGAAAAGGATCGTTATTGTGACATTAAAAGTCAACACACTGATAAAATATCTCCTGAGGAAAAAAAAGTAAAACGTATTAAACCAGAAAAGTGCCGAGTGGATATATAAATATAAACAGCGTACATACTCTATTAAAAATTCCCTCTACACATTTTCACTACTACTGCAAAAGTACGGGGCCTTCCTAAAGTAAAATTATTCAACGCAGATACTGTGGGAGAAAATTTCTCAAATGTATCACATAGCTACAAATATTTTCCCAACTAAAAGCTTGTTTATTTCCCTCAACAATTTTGAAAAACAGAAATAAAAAAAATATTTCTTTCCTTGTAATTCTTCCTCTCACACTATTTTTTCATAAATATATTTTATTTTCGTAAATGGTAATTTTTTTTTGACAAATAGTACATTTATTTCAGCAAATATCCTAAATTTTAACAAATAAATTTATTCTAGCAAATAATTTAATTACTAAAATTACTACAACGGTTTTTTTTTTATTTTAATAGGAAGTTAACAATTTTATAAAAGTTTTTACTGAAAGAAAATTAAATTATTCTGAAAATAATATTTTTTTTTTGATAAAATGGTTCTCCACTTGAGAACGCTAAGGTCGCCACCAGATGGCAAGAGAAATTCCAAGAAAGAACTGAAGTGCCATCTAGCGGTGACCTTGGCGTTCTCAGGTGGAGAATAGCGGCTTTATACAGAATCTCAAGTTGTTCGAAATTCTATAATTATTTACGTTCAGAGATTGAATTTACAGAGTTTAAAAATTAATATAAATGGACTTAGATTTTCAAATCACTTCAATTTGTTATTATTACGTTAAATTTAACGTTAATAATTTTTTTACATTAGATTACAAAACAGTGTGAACGATATCTAAGTTTTTGTTAAGCGATGATAGTTAACTCAACTGGAGGCAAGTTCTCAACAGTTTATGAAACTGTCAAACTCAATGTAAACTTTCAACGACATTGATATACCGTATATAGATATACAAACGAGAGAGCACCCCTAAATCACAATTGATTTTAGGACACAAAGGATAACTTTGCTCGCTCCGATTAAACACATAAATAACAAATCAGTCAATGCAAATATTACGAAACCTGAAGCAATAATTATTATACCTTTAATTAAGATTAACGCAAAAAAAAATAAGCTCTTCACTGAGGTAACTCAAACATTAAATCCTTCGCTTTTTTTTAAAATCTTAATTTCAAAACATCAAAAAATTCATAAAGATATTAATTAAAAAATTTTCAGTTTTCAAATTAATTATCGCTATTTTGGTGAAAGAAAATATTGAGTAGAAAGAAACTCAATATTTCTCTTTATCACAAAAACAAAAGAGCTTTGTAATATTAAAAAAAAAATATAGAAATAGTGGGATAGAATTTGAGTTACCTTATTCTATAGCTGCGGAACATCGAAGAATTATATTGTAGAAAACTGATAATATTGTATAAAAAAAAAGTAAAAAGAAAAAAAGCATCGCCGAAGCGAGTACCGATTTTATAGCACCAATATTGCAATCACTAGCGATTGTTTCTTTATTTTAAATTCATTTTTTCTCAATTGGAAAAAAAATTATGAACAAAAAGAAACCGAATGAAATACATCATTCACTTCCAGAGGAATTTGTATTTTTGCAAAAAAGAAAAAAAAATGAAAATTGTAAAAATATTCTTTTTTTTTTGCACTTTCTTGAGTGCTATTTGTATCATGTTGGTGGTGATTTTCACATAGAGAAAAAATTTTATACCCACATATATATTATTGTTAACATGTATATTTAAATATATTCCTATATTTTCAATTTTACCACGAGACAAGAAAAATTTATAAATATTAATTACAATTTAAGACAAAAAAAAAACCAACCTCTGTTAATCTTAATTAGTAAAAAGTCCACTATTCGTATTAGTGAAAAGTTCACGAATTCAAAATAAAAAAAAGTTGAGTAAATAAAATAAATAAAATTAGTAAAACGAATACGAATTAAAATTAGTAAAAAGGAAATTAAAATTAGTAAAAAATACACTAATTCAAATTAGTAAGTTTTTCTATTGATACTTATAAAAAGTACACTAATTAAAATTAGTAAAAAGAACGCTAATTAAAATTAGTTAAAAAAATACACTAATTAAAATTCGTCAATAATTAGTAAACAAAAAGGTTTTTTCGGTTATTTATTCAAATTAGTAAAAAACTTCACTATCAAATTAGTAAAAAATACAGTAATTAGATAAGTAAGAAGTACATTGATTCAAATTAGTAAAAATTACAGTAATTAAAAATAGTTAAAAGTACACTTATATTCAAATTATTTGAAACCACTGCTTAAAATTAGTAAAAAGTGCATGAACTAAAAATAGTAAATTTTACTAATTTAATTATATTATTAAAATTAGAGGTTCATAATTTAGCACATTTTTAGAGTAAATTTTGTTTAGTCATGTTCGAGTGGAAAATTAGTAAAAGTTAGCAGAAATATTTACTAATTTCAATTTAGTGAACTTTTCACTAATTAGGGAAAATTATAATTTGTAAAAATTAGTAGAAATATTTCCTACTTTTAAATTAGTCGACTTTTTTTAAAATAAAATGCAAAGAAAATGAAAATAAAAAAAATGTAATAAAATAAGTGTATTAGTAGAAATTTATACTATAATTTAAATTAGTGGCGGACTTTCGACTAATTCAGATAGAGGAACTAAAAAATAAAAAGATCCAAATTAAAACAAAATAATACTCAAAATCATTGCTTCCCAAATAAAAAAGAATTTGTTTTCAAAGACAAAAAAATTGTTTTAAACTTAAAAGAAATCTGGTTTTCCATTAATGAATCAAGATCGAAATCATAAAAATTTTGTTCATTGAACTAAAAAACATAAACGACTCTTCGTGTTATTTTCCAATTAATTATGCAAGAAAAAAAAAGCTCTAATTATTTTATCGAGATTTTGATTTTTTTTATGTAAATTATACGAAATTACATGTGATAAGAATCATGTACATAGTGTATTAAAAAAAAAAGAAAAAAAAATCGAATTCGCTCGGATTGAATGCTTGCCGCTCAAAACCGCAGGCTAAACGATAATACCGTAATTGTGATAAAAAAAAACCTGTAATAATTAATTAGTGATTAATTATACCAGCTCTATATCTACGCAATACAGATAATTATGTAAGTGACGTTAATAGTGGAAGAATATGAAAGCTAGAAAAATGAGTAAGATGCATACAGGGAAAAACAAAAAAAAAAAAAATTAAAGAAGTCGTTATTAGCCGAGATTATTATATATCGTGTAGATTGTAAACCCGTAGAGAAGCAAAATAAAGGGAAGGTAATGATATTAAATATATCAACTAATTAAAATAATTTTTAATGAGTTATTATTATTACCCGTTATTGGTCTAGTATCACCCATATTATTCCATCATCCAAATACGAAATATTTTATTTCTTTATTGTATTTTTATATACAATTTATTAAATTTAATATTAAATAATAGCCGAAGATAAAAAATGTTTCAGAAGAAGGTAAGTACAATAGAACGAATAAAATGAGGAAAAAACAATTAGCATTTTTTCTCTCTATAGAATTAAAAAAGTTCGTATTTCACTCCCTAGAGATTTTAACAGACAATTTTATTTGAACCAAGAGGAGCTGATTTTACTCATCTCTTTTGAGGATACACAGTGAATAATTAAAAAACATGTAATTTTAAATTACAGTTTTCTTTCGAGAATTTCCCAACTATAATTATGATTTTATTCTAAATAATGAATTATTCTTTTTAATTTCTCGTTAATAAAATTAATCACGAAAGATTTCATTTAGAACATTATTTGCATTTTGGGTCCGATAATTTCAATTTGACCTAATTACCAACTAATGAGATAATCTCCTGAAACTCATTAATATTCAATATTGGCTTGATGTATACATATGTTTTACTTAATAATGTTAAAATATTATAAGCGTAAATGTTAATCTAACTTAATATTTGATCAATGGTGTAAGAAATAGAAATCTACAAAATTAATTAAAATTTACAATCATCTTCACATTCTTCTCATTAAAAATAATTTCGTCTAATTTTTCTTTTAGAAGAATATAAATAATCATTTATTAATTTTTTCAAGAAAATAAACAAAATAATAATAAATATAAGAAAATAAATAATAAAGAGAAAAGAGTAAAAAGTAAACATTGCAAATTTAGTAACTGCATTTATTAAAACACAAACTGAACTATTTATTCTTTAATAATGTATCATCATTTACATGTACCATCATTTAAAAAGAAAACAATACTAAATCTATATTGCAACATTTTTGAATTATTATTAGGAAATTATTAAATTATCTCATATTTATTTAAAACATTAATTTTCTTAGCTCCTCGAATTAAAATCACAAAAAAGTCGATTCTAAAATTCAATTCCCAGGTCACTCGCAAAACTTTTTATATCTTCATCGCCATTGGAGAAATCTAAAGATAAGAATAAATCAACTTATGCTCTCTTCACGAAATATTGCAAATTTTAATATAAGAATTTATTTCAATACTAACCATCAGCAACATTTTGATCTTCACTTATCGAGTCAAAAACTTTTTTCTTAATTTCAATTCTCTTTTTTGGAAAAACTGTAAATATTTTTATATAAATTGTAAATAAATTTCTGCCTATAAAGATTGGTAACTAATATTTACAGAAATACTATGAAATTATTGCATGAAATTTCTAAAAGTATTGTCGTGAATCTCTTCACTCAGGATAGAGATTATAAAAACTATTTTTGAAAATTATTTAGTTATAATATTTTAAAAATCATAATGTGCATTAATTTAAATACTTTCCTCTCAGTTCATCAGTAGCCCAATTAGTGGATGTCATATTTAATTTTGGAGAACTTTTAATAATAATACATTTCCCATTTAAACAATACTGAAAAATTGTAAAGCAATAAGAGAAGAATCTAGCGTAGGTGATAATTATTTTTATATAATGTGAAAAGAGTTATGAACAATGGTGTAAAATGTAAATATCTTTAAAATTCGCAAAATTAAAATATTAAAAAATTTTAGTTACTCCATCTGTTTCGCAAGGATATCCATCTTCTGCGGTTAAATTTTGAAAGACAATTTTCTCATCTATTTTAAATATATCTTTGATACTTAACGCATTTCTGCTAGTGCACACGATTGTACATTTAGTTCTATCGTGCTAAAAATGTCAAAAAATAAATTAAAGGATTATTTGAAAACTTTATAATATTATATCGTTATAATACTAACATCATACGACAAAAACATTCCAATTTTTAGACATAGTTTCAAACGAGATTCAAATTCACCGTACTGTCTTTCTACGGGAGTAGTTGAACGAATAGTACTTGTCATAATTGTCATATTAAAGCAAATACCATTATCACAGATCTAAAAAGAAAACAGTCGAAGTTAATCGTGACAAATTGTACATATTGGTAAAATGCCACTTACTCCATCATTATCACAAGGATATTCATTTTCAGCAACTAAACGATCATCAAGTTTGTTAGTTTCATTTATGCAATAAGCTATACATCCTTCGTTATACTAAAAAGCGGAGGAAAAAATGAAAATATTGAAATAAACACACAAAATTGAATTTATTTTTTGTTCCAAAACTAACATTCTCTACCAGAGTCATTCCAATCATATTACATCGTTCACTAGGAGATTTAAAACCATGCCATTTATCTGAAGGAGTAGTTGATGGCACTATTGTCATATTCATACAGTTTCCATCTTCACAGGTCTAAAGAAGAAAACAAATGAAATTTTATGTTACCAAATTAATATATGTTTGTCAAAATGTTCCTTACTCCATTATAATCACAAGGATATCCATTTTCAGCAACTAAGTTATCATCGATTTTGTTATTTTCTTCATTTTTGCAATGAGTTATACATCCGTCGTTATACTAAAAATCAAGGAAAATAAATAAACTTAGGTAAGTCCGGAAGAGTTGGAACAATGGTAGAGATGTTACACTTGCTAGATCACGGAAACTTTACATTCTTACACGTAGAAAGTTTCAAATTAAAGAATTTTACAATAATTGAATGTTTTTATCAAGTTTCTTGAAATTAGCAGCGGATTGAAAAATGGTGCTCTAAATCTCCTGTACTTATTCTAATAAAAATTGAAGACAATGAAATATAAAAATATTAAATTAAATAAATGAAAATGTGAATATTCAATTCACATTTGTTCTAATACTAACGTCGAGAATCCAAGTCATTGAAATATTTTTGCATCGTTCTTGGGGAGATTTATATATATCTAAGGGAGTAGTTGTTTCAATAGTGCTGACAGTAGTTGACATAATTGTCACATTGACACATTGCCCATCTTTACAGTACTGAAAAAGAGAAAAAGTGTTAAAATTGGAACTTTTTTATTTTGCTTATAATTTTTATGCATTGCAGTAACAAATTTTATATTTAATCATAAGTCTTACTCCATTTTTATTGCACGGAAATCCATCTTGAGCTAATGTTATCGATATGGTATCATACTTTTTATAAGATTGGTTATGGAATGTATCAGGAAATTCGTAATGTATCTTTTTGCAGACTAAGTGACATTCTTTTGAGGCCTTCTGAAATATCAACAATTTAATATTTTTTAAATTATTCTCAAAAGATTTGAAATAATTGTATTTATATACTTAGTTATTTAAGTGTTAGTTTAACAATATTGATTTAAAAACAAATTCGAATAAATTTTAATGTAAAAAGTGCTTCTTTTTTAAAATCATTTTCAAAATTCTCACACCCTAAAAACTGTCATCTCATAATTAACGGAAATATCTTCTAATATCATCTCAAAACAAAAGTATTCCACTTGAATGTAGAATACTTTTATTCTTTGGTGGTTAATATTTGAACAAAACACTTTTTATAGTTTAAGTGTTTATAACCATAATTGGCAAATAATATACGAGAGGAAATTCCTCTAAAGTGCATCAAATTTGTTTCAATGATATTGCTCATTTTATAATTAAATATTTTAAAATCTCACTTTACTCTAAAAAGTTATTCGTCATTTCAAAAATGAAAATATAAATGTAAATTTGTGAAAGTAAAAACAAAAGTTTCAGTGTGAATCGTGTGAAACTGAAAATGAAAGTTACGTTAAATGACGTAAAAAAGAATTATTATTATTTGTAGAATACTAACTCTTAAAAAGCTTGATGCTCCAGAATTTATACACTGAATTTCAGCTAATTTGTAATTTTCATCGTAACATATTCCATCTAGACAATACTAAAGAATTAAAAATATTTTATTTGTCAATATTAACAGCCTTATTTTAAAAAAAATTTAAAATTCACATTTATCTTACTCCGTTATTATTACACACAGTTCCATCATCAGGATAATAAAATGTATTTAAAATGAATCCCGTACTATCTATATCTTGACAGTTAAGTCTACAACCACTTAAAGTAGCCTGGAATAAATTTTCAATCAACTTTCAGAAGTTTGTAACATGTTTTGTTGAATGCATATAACTATTGTAAAATTATTAAAATTATAAAATTATTAAATTTGTAATAAATTTAAAATAACTTTTTTAACGTTTGATATTCCCCTTTCATCACATTGCTCCTCGAGAGATTTATTACTCTTATACGGTAGAAAATGGTTTGGAAATAATACATTTAGATCTGAATTCCTGTCATTTCTATCAGATTGTAGTTTTACACACTTTCCCATTAAACAGACCTATAAGATGAATAAAATGTGTTAGATTTATAGTGTGAAAATATGGTAAATAAGTATAAAGTATTGTCAGATGAGGTCAGAAATAGAAGACAAATTTGAGCCGTCGAGTTTATACTATAATTACAAAAAACATTAATTGATATCAATAAATTCCTCACGCTTTCCACGTCACAAGGAGTTCCTTCAAGTGCTGGTTCAATTTCATTAAATTTTACAAAATATTCGACGCATTCTAATCGTACACAAATTCTTGGAGACACCTTTTAAAAAATAAACCTAAATTATTAAACTTTTCTTAAAACTAATTTCACTTATAACAATATTAAACAATAACTTACAAGCGCTCTCTCATATCCTAAGAATATGCATTGTTCATCTGCTGACATGTATTGTCCAGAAAAAGTTGATAGCATTTGATCATCAGTTCTACCAACAGCTGGATTATTCTGAACGCATTTAGCTTGCTCTGAACTAGTTTACAATGTGCATATGTTATTTAAAAAAAACAATTCATTCGATTCACATTTTTTACTTTAATGGGTAAATATAAAGAATTTAACCTCAATTTCAATTTCATTTTTTCTTTGGAACATGGAGAAAAGTAAAATTGATTTTCATTTACTCTATGATAGCTCATAACAAAACCTTTCTTAAAAGTACATTTTTCTATCTTTTCTGCAGTCATATTTTCGTTATCATCATGAGGAGCTCCCAATCTAGCAAAATTAAATTCTAATATGAAAAATTATTCTATTAAAAATTAACCATATTTTTTGGAGTAATAATAATTTGATTAATTTATTTAAGTATTATTAATTTCAATGCTATGCTTACACATGACCTATTTCATGTACACCTGTAAAAATTCCATCAAAGTTTCCTGCATCACATATAATTGCAACTGAGAATATGTTTCGTGCTATTGTCAAACAAACGTCTTTATATGCATATCCTTTAAAGTTTTTTGTTAAATTCTATTAATAGGTACAAACATTCTGTACTTAAGTATAATTTTAAATGATTTAAAAAAATTCACCTCTGTATGACTGAGGTTTCTTTGGATTAACGAAAAAAACAGCAATATCGTAATCAATAGAGAATTTGAAATCAGTTTGATTAAACATAAAATTTGTAAATCTAAACAAAGTCGTGTCATTAAGAATGTATTCATCTATCGGTTCTATTGGATCCTTCGGTTAGAAAGAAAATTATTTAAAGTACGATGGAAAAGATATCGATAATTTTTGTCATTAATTATTTTTGTTGTAAAAATAAAATACCTCACACACAACAATTCCAGCTATACTTAAACGAACTGAAGGATCATCCATTTCTCGAAAATAAAGATCTACTGTGTTCCAAAATGTTAAAACATAAGCAACAGTTTTTTCGATACTGCTATTAAAGTGTCTGAAAAGAGAAAAAATTTCTATTGCTAACTCTAATGGAGAGTTAGTATGTAATAGAATTTAAAAATTAAACTTTAACTTACAGAAAAATTGTTGTATCTACATAGATTAATATTTCTGGATATACTATAACTGGAGTTTCGTTAATATTTCTCAAATCGTCATGATCAGGTGCGGAATTTGGAGAATAATTAGATTTCCCGCTATTTGTTGGAGATACTTCTCGTTTAAAAAGTACGTGATAATTCTTGAAACCATTGTTTTCTGATTCCAACTGTGATTTTGATGAAACATCACGGCGAAAGCGTTTGACATTATTTAGCGAACGTATTACTTTGTCAGAATCAATAATACCATTCTAAAAAGATAATTTTTTTAGACACCTGTAGCTTTAAGAAAGACCATAACGGGAGTTAAATATATTTTACTTACGAATTCTGAAACACCTTTTTCATTTACTGTATGAGTTATTACAGACCTCGTTTTTCGGTCGTGATAAAATGTAAGGTTCAATTTCTCCATAATCTATATATGTTATGAATTATATTTTAATAATTATTTTAAATACAAGTTGGTAAATTTAAAATTAGGACCAGAAAAAAGCAGATCTAACTTACATCTTTTTGTCGAATATATGTAAACTTGGTGCCATTTTTTTTAGCTACCCAGACTTTTGTACTTTTACCAGCAAAAAATCCTTGCGATGACTGCAATATAAATTTTCTATCATAGTTATGTTTTTTTATATAGAGCGAAAGTTCAGGAATACTTCTTTTATGAATTGAATGTTCAATCGAAATCACTTCCCCATCAGATTCTGAAAAATTTGAATATGTAAATATACTTCTTACTTTTTTAAAATTGATTAAAATGTTCGTTTACTGCAAATAAATAATTGTCTATTATAAGATAAATGTTTATCATGTTTAAAAAAAAGTGTGACTGATATTTTAGAAAATATTTATGAATACCTTCATTGGCTTCATGATCAGTAAAATATTGTTGGGCCTAATGGAAGAAATTTTACAATTATTTTATGAACAAACACTTTTGGTTCTATAAACTATAAGAATTGTTAATATTGAATGTAAAATGGTCATAAACATAAATTAAAAATTTTTGCTGCGTGGAGTATCTTTCAGTGTCGAATGGTACATATTGTCAAATTATGATTTAAAAAACAAATATCTACCTTCACTGTGTACGTGATTGGGACAATGAATGCACAAAGTAAAATACAGGTGTAAATCATTTTCTGTTCACTAGTAATTTTCGGAAACTGAATGAGACGTTTAGGAATTAACAAAGCGCCACGTATAAATAAATTTTTATTTCAAACACTTCTACATTTTCCAAAAATACATAAAATATTCTTCAGTTATCTATATAGAGTTTTATTTGCTCTTCGAGCCAATAAGTAGATAATATTGCAGCTGTAGTTTTTTATGCTCATAGTAAAATCTAAGGTAGGATAATTAAATATTCAAGAAATATGTTTTATTATTTTTTCAATGATAGTTTACTTAATATCGTTTAATCTATTCTCACACGAATTATAAAAGTTAATCGCATTTTTAATTTATCACAATTTTTATATTTTTTTAAAAATTTATTTATATTTTTATCCATATTTTTTTCTAATTAAACAATTATTTCCCAATTAAATAGGAAACATTTCTCGAATATACCGATTTTTTACGAAACTTAATGGAATCGTAGTTCTACACTATATGAGACTTAATTTTCACAAATTATTTTTTTAAAAATTCTGAATTGTACAAAATACGTCATTTTGAATATTAATATTAATTTTCTAAAATTTTTAATATCTCGAAATATTGTACATCGATTTTTATGAAATTTACCAATTAAAAATTTTTAAAATTTTTTTTATTATTAACTCCACTATGAAAAAAATTTTATTACATATTTGGATTCCTTATGAATTCACCTTTAATTTAAAAAAAAATTTAGATTGCTTCAATATCTTCGGAACCAGTTGAGTCTCCGTAAATTTTTTTTTTTGAAAGTAAAGGTGAATTCATAAGAAATCCAAATATGTTAATAAAATTTTTTTCAGAAAGGAGTAAATAATCAAAAAAAATTTTTTATATTAAAATGAAGTTTTTTTATTAACTTTATTTTCATTTTAAAGTATATATTTTTAATAGGAAAATGTGTGAATTTCATAAAAATCGATGTATAATATTCCGAGATATTAAAATTTTTAGAAAATTTATTATTAAAATTCAAAATGACGTATGTTGTATAATTTTGAATTTTCTAAAAAATAATTTAGGTTTTAGTTCAGATGTTGTGGTAATGAATTTGTAAATTGTTAGTCAGGGTTCGATTCCTGATAGAATCATAGTAAAACGAGAAGTGTTAAAATAACACCAGAAATGGATTAAAATAATCTGCAACAGTTTAATCCCTCTAGGATTAAATTAACACCAGAAAGGATTAAAATAATCAAATTTGGTGTTATTTTCTACAATGAATGAAATTTTACTTTAAATAAAATACCAAAGTCAACGATTTGTAAAAATTCAACGAATTTAGCTTCTCCAGGGAAAATAGTAAGTTAGTTACTAACTTACTAACTAAATTAGTAACATAGTTACTAAATTCAATTGTGTTCAAAAGTTTAAAAAAATTCTTGTCAAAATTTCAATTCTCTTTATAAATAATAAAATTCTTCTCTGATATTCAATTATTTTACAAAATTTTAATCAAATTCTTGTCAAAATTTCAATTATTTTCAAAAGTTTTCTAAAATTCAATGATTTTCAATATCTACTGTTTCAATAAAATTTCCCAAAACAATTCCATTATTAAAAAAAATTTGAATAAAATTCTACGCAAACATTCAATTATTTTCATAAATAATAAAAATTTTTATACAGGAATTCAATTATTTACAAATTTTTTTTATAAATTTCTTCGCAATAATTCAATTATTTTCATAAATAATAAGATTTTTACAGGGATTCAATTATTTTTATAAATAATAAAATTCTTTTAGGAATTCAATTATTTTCATAAATAATAAAACTCATTGCAGAATTTCAATTATTTTTAATGCAATTTTAATCGAATTCCTCGAAAAATGTAATTATTCTTAAAATTTTTATTAAAATTCATCCACAGAATTTAATGATTTAAAAAGTTTGTTAATAACATTTTTTATGAGAATTTAATTTCAAGAAACATGACATTAATAAATTATTTATTTTTGTATTTAAATAATTGAATTCTCGTAGAATTTACTAATAAAAATGGTTCTAAAAATGAATTTCAGTTAAAATTTTAGATCATAATTAAATATTAAAAGCATTATAACGTAGATTTTTAGAAATAATTAAACATTGAAAAAATTTCAAACTAAAATCATTGAAATTCTTAATTTTTCATATTTTTGACAAAAAATTCTGTAGAATTAATTCTTTTTAAAAAGTTTAATAGGATTTTTATTGAAATTATTTCAAGTTTTTATTTTTCTAATATATATTTAATTGCAGAATTTCCGAATAATTGAAATTTTGTAAAATTGAATTGTAAACGAATTAATTTGAAAACTCTCATAAAATTCATAGCAACGTTTCAATTATTTTTCATACAATTATAATTGAATTCCTTGAAAAAGTACCTAATTATGTTCATGCAAGTTTTAATAAAATTTGACAAAAGAATTCAATTATTTAAAAATTTGTTACTAAAATTCTTTATGAGAATTGAATTTTGAGAAACATTCAATTATTCAATAAATTATTTACTTTTGCATTAAAATAATTAAATTCTTGTAGAATTTTCTAATAAAAATTGATTTTGATTTAATAAAAATGAATTTCAGTTAAAATTTTAGATTATAATTGAATATTAAAGGCAATATAGCGTGAATTTTTGGAAATAATTGAATTTTGAAATTAATTTTTTTAAGAATAAGTTTGATTGAATTTTTTTTATATTATTTGAAGTTTTTATTTTCTAATATGCATTTAATTAAAGAATTTAGGAATAATTGAAATTTCGTGAAATTGAATATTGTAAACAAATGGATTTGAAAATTGCCAAAGAACTTTTTCGAAAATTATTAAAAATAATTGAGAAAAAGTAAAATTGTAGTTAAAAATTTTTGAAAATAATGAACTAAAATTTCATTCATTGTAAAAAATAACACCAAAATTGATTGTTTTAAATTTTTTTTGGTGTTAATTTAATCTGCAACACTTTTTAATACCTCACGATTTACTGTGATTTTCTTCAGTTGGTAATTTAATTTTTTGATCTGAACTGAAGGCCAAATCAACATTTTTTCTTCGAGAATATTACTTATGAAAAATATAATATAATAAAAATAATAAAAATAATAATATTAATATTAGAATCTCGAAGAATGGAACAAACAAGTATAATTAAATGGCTTTTCATTTATTATTCCGAACAAGGAATTTTATTAAATGAAAAAGAAAATAATACTTTACATAAGGATATATATACATACATACTGCTAGACATCTTTATAAGGTTTCAGTAGAAAAACAAGACTTTAGTCAGCCATCGTGTTCCTCTTTATGAAGTTAGATATACGTATAATATTTACGCGCTGTGGCTGACTATAGACAGATTATTTCACTGAATCTCATAAAACACAAAACAGCACGAATTTCTAAATTCACACAAAAATTTTTATTAAATTTCCACACTTCCTTGCTTTTTAATATATATATATATATAGAATATGAAAAATATTTTCTCAATTTTCTTAAGCGACATTTGTTATAATACCATTTTTGTTTAATATTAAAACATCATTTTTAATTCACTATACTGTAATTTAATTTAATTAATTTTTAACTATTAAAAATTTGTAATCCTTTTATTTATTTACATAGCTATATTTCAATTTGCGTTAAAAATTGCTTGTTTCTGACAAGAAATTGCCATCTATGATATAATGTTAATATAAAATATTTCCATATAATTTTTTAATATCTTATAATCTTAATTTTTCTTTCTAAGCAAAATTGTTTTTAATATAAAAATTCCAGTGTAGAAAAGAAGCTTCTTTAATGAAATATAAAATAGATATACTAATTCGAATAATAAAAAATGTTAATCATAAATTTTTACACTTTTACTAATAAAAATTCAAAGAGTAATAAAGAACTGCAACATAAATAATATTCATGACAGAATTTTACACTTTTCATTCCACCATTATGAGTCTAGAACTTTGTGCACATTTTCTCTCTGTCTCAGCATTTTTATTTTTTAAACTTTTTAATTGGCAGCAATAAACGAAAAGAAAATCGAATAATTACAACTGTACTCACAGGGCAAAGTATTATTCGCGAATATATCGTGTAATTATATATGAATGTATAAGTTATAAATGAAGTGACATTGGAACATTGCTGAGGTTCGTAATAAAGGAAAAAAATGAGGGCAAAAGGCAATAAATTGGTCAGAACTCTAGGCAGATTGGATTTTTTTTTCAATATATATTAGTCTCTTCCTGCGTGGAATATACGCGCATATATATTGGCATTCAATGTTCGTCGACTGATCTAAATTCCAGATATGTAACTACCGAGTGTTACGTTGAATAATAATTACATCTCAGACATTATATCTTACTTTATTTTAATAGAATTTCACTTGTTGCAATTTATAAGAAAAAAAAATAAATAAATAAAAGAATATTACAATTTTTTCCTAATATTGTTTCGGAAATTTTTCATTTAGATGTAAAATTTTATTCTTAAAAAAATATTTTGATGACTAAGAGTTTAAATTTTATTTCACTTAAATTTAACTTTATCGAGGGGCGTATGAAATGTCCATAATCTTTCGGCTGACTAAGATTCATAAAGTTGTTCAACAAAATTATAAACAACTATTATTTTCCAGTAAAAAAAATTTTCTAGAATTTTTCTTGAATTTTTAATAATTTTCGAAAAAGTTCTTTGACAATTTTCCAATTCATTTGTTTACAATATTCAATTTTACGAAATTTCAATTATTCGTAAATTCTTTTTCAATTAAATATGAATTAGAAAATAAAAACTTCAAATAATATAAAAAAAATTCAATTAAACTTTTGCAAAAAAATTAATTTAAGAATTCAATTATTTCTAAAAATTCACGCTTTTAATATTCAATTATTATCTAAAATTTTATCTGAAATCAATTTTTGAATTAATTTTTGTTAAAAAAATTCGACGAGAATTCAATTATTTAAATGCAAAAATAAATAATTAATTAAATGTTTATCATAATTTTATTTTCCTAAAGAATTTTATCAACAAATTTTTTAATAATTGAATTCTTTCGACGAATTTTAATAA